GGATCTTATCTATGCACAATCAGCTTGTAAAACTCCAAAGAGAAAAGAACATTTTAAATCGCATCATATGACCCCTTTAATCATTAAGCTTGTTAAGCTTGAATTACTTTATTATACTATGTGAAACATGATAAATGTTTGCTCTACAGAATGTGTTAAGGACTACATACATCACATAAAATCCTACATGAGAGATGTCTGCTGCTCTATGCGTGGGGGAATGGTAATGGAGTCACACTATGTGGACATGCATCTGGTCCAGAGGAAACTCCTTATCAAATCCGGCAAGAATGCAAATAAGTGTTTGGAGAAAGAACTGGTCATCCTTAGTGATTCAGAGCGAAAGAAAGCAAAGCTGGACAGAAGCCAGTTGTTTCATAACAGTGATTCCAGACAGTCAGTCACTCTCCTTGGAAAAGCCGGAGTGGGAAAAACCACATTCATTCAGCGTTTATGCTTGGACTGGGTGAGCGGCAGCCTGCCTCAATTCCAGTTTGTTTTTTTGTTGAACTGTAAAATTTTAGACCTCACACAATCAAACTACAGCTTGAAAGGTTTACTGTTCGATTTGTCTATGTCTCCTCGCTGCAAGGACTCAGACTCTGTGTTCAAACACATTCTGTCCTGTCCTGATGAAGTTCTAATTATCTTTGACAGCTTTGATCACATTAAAGACTTTGAGGGGCTTCTCCAGTCCCCTGCGAAATCACACACAAACACTAAATACACCATCAAACAGCTATTTTCAGGTTTGTTCCAAAAGGAAATCCTCTCGGGCTGCACGCTTCTCATCGCCACGAGGCCTAAAGACGTTTTAAATCAGGTGCTGCGAAAAATGGACAGCCTTTTGGAGCTTTGTGGCTTCTCTCCTGAGGACATTGAGTTGTATACGTCAAAATATTTCGGGGATGGTTCCCTCCAAAAAAGTGCACTAAAACAGATTAAGAATCACAGATACATATCTAGTTTATGCTCCAACCCGCTACTTTGTTGGACTACCTGCTTCCTGCTCGAGCACCAAGACAGCTGCAATGATGATTTGCCTTCAACCCTCACGGACTTGTACCAAAGAGTGACCTCAAAGCATCTGCAACTAGCTAGCCTTAAAAATAGCTCCCTGTGTAAAAATAGAAAACAGCTGAACATCCCACAGTTGTGCAAAATGGCATGGGAGGGACTCGAGAATCATGATACACGTGTAAACCCTGCCAGTTCTACAGAGCTGCTGGACTGCGCTCTTAAAAGTGGCATACTTGCATCCTACAAAGCATCTGAGCATCAGGAAAGCCACTTTGTAGACCTTTTCACTCAGAACCTCCTGAGCGCTGTGCACCTTGTACAGTCTGAACAGGTGAATGAAAAAATGGTGGTGGCAAACAGCGTAGTCCATCAGAAGAAACGAAAGGTTCAGGGAGAGTCACAGGACGTGCTGCATAGGTTTGTCACGGGCTTGGTCTTCCAGAAGGCTGCAGATGGAGTCAGCATTCTGGACAGCAGTGTCAACATAAAAGCCAAAAGAAAGGCTGTCGAAACCCATCTGGAGAGCATGAAGCCTAATGATCTGGTTCCTAACAGGTTACTAGAACTGTTTCATTGTGTTTACGAGACCAGCAGTGCCAAATTTGCCAAACTGCTGTTGAAGAACCTGCCTGACAATCTGTCATTCTATGGGACGCAGCTTTGCCCATTGGACGTGTATGTTATATGCCATCTCCTTCAACAAGCCAGCGCATTGAAGCGGACCTTCTCCATTAACCTGCAAGATACATGTATTCCCATCTGTGGCCTCAAAGAGCTTGTGGGACTCAAATGTATCAAATCATTCTGGTGAGAAGTTGTCAAAATGCATTG